TTTACGTTCCCTTAATCGTAAAAACTGCTTTTAAATTGACAATGAATTATGTTTATCTAACATAGTGTGGTTGAAAATGTAACTGCAAACTTTGCAATGAAATAATATGATCATTTGAGTATCATGAACCCCCTACATTTTCATATGACTAAACAAAACAGCCAGAAGGTATTCCAGCAACTATCTTCATGCCTGTAATATCCCTGACCAGCTCGATCGTATAACTGTCATTTAATCCGTTGAAACTATCGATGAGAAACAGGCTGCTATCGATCTTTTCATTATGTGATCAAACAACAAATAGCCTTGCACAGGTGAGATGCTCACAACTTGGAAAGGATTCCCTGAATTACGGTAACAGCATCAACGATGTTGGTATATATTGCTGACGACAGTTTAAAACGAAGAAACTGGTCCCCAAATCAGTAAGAATGTCAAGGAAAATATCCAAAGTACGGTTAAAAAGTTTCGCACTGGAATGTAGCCTAACAGTGGTTGTTTGACATTTAGACAGATAAGCTAGATAACGGTTGCCTACATGGGTTGCAATGTAGTGTGGCGAGGCTAGAACGTATTCTTCATTCATTTAGAGCTACTTGTGAATAGAATAGGTGGAAGATAAATACATGTTGTACTTGCCTGGCTGGTGTTAGCCGAATTCAGGTACCGATGTTTCCCGTCCACTATAGCCTAATAGTCGTCGCTGGGTGCGTCTTTTTTTTACCCTGCTGTCCACTTTCTCTTTTTCTCGCCTGTTTTCGTGCTACAGCCTTCTTCCCGCTGCTCTCATTCACTGTCACCCCACTCTCTCTCTCTCTCTCTGCGTCCAGCTTACTCCACAGCTTCCCAATCTGTGGAGTAAAATCTCAATGATACACTTACAGAAAATTCTTTGTCCGTTTTAATCTTATTCGTTTCACCTTTTCAAAGAGCTGGAGACATGACAGGGAGTCTCAGTGCAGTGTCCGAGACAGGGACGGGAAGAGCTCTGTTGTTGAATACTTAAAAACACCCATTCCTCCTATGCGTTAACAATGGGGGTACTTGCATATTTGCACACCATTATCTTTTAATAGCTGACCACACTCGCACAGCCATAACAAAGGTATTCATAAACGATTCACTTTATTTTAACATACCCTATACTCTATTTAGTGTATGCTATTATGGATGCATGTCGACGCACCAGGCTTGTAGCCCACTGAATAAAGTTCTGGCGGCTTTGGTGACTATGTGGGCTACATGCTTAAGTATCTGTTGTCACATTCAAACTACCCCGAGTCAATATGTTTGTACATTTTATGTCAATGTTATCTGAGCTGTTCCACTAATTGCAAGTGATTTTACCTTATCCTCAATCTACCAAAGTCACCAGCTGCTCCGTTTGAAATCTTCATCAGGAACACAGTATCTGTAAAAATAAAAATAAATAAAAAATACATTTTCATGAGTTTATTTTTTGTTTTTATGATTTTACAAAGTTGATAAGAATGCATGCATGATCACGGTGAGTTATGCATTACTATGTGGATGTAATTGTATACTGTACGCTAGATGGCAGACCGATCCAGACATTTTTGAGTTGGAGACGCATGCAGGCTTCAGTATCCACATACAAAAAGCCGGAATCCCCGTGCAATTTTCAAACAACTTGACATTATTATGAATTATTGACATTATTAAAACATAATATGACATCCGTTCAATGATTGTGTAGGCCTTAAAACCTAAACTGTTATAGAGTATTTGTTATTTGTCGATGTAATTTTGAGATTCGCTGGCGCCATCGCACCCTGTCTGCCTATTCTAACACGATTTGTCTATAATGCATCATTTCTTACATTGTAATTTTTCCTAATTTGATCCAGCAACTTTTGACCCGAATCAATTTTTGACAATGGAAATGTAACGTTGACACATATACAGTATTACGCACCACCAAATGCTGTAGGCTATAATAAAATACAAGATACATCAATAATGTCCCCCGCATTTTAAATTAATATAGCAGTCCCAAACAAACCATTTAAAACTTTGAGGAATTCTATGCTAGTCCCTTTCGCCTAGCACGTTTGTTTATTTCACCTGCGCAAAGCTTTGTCCCCGCTTTTACCCTTATTTCGGCTATTCTATCCAGGGTTTCCTTCTCTTTTTGTGACAATAGACGGCCCATACTAATCAGGTTTCAAAGTAAATACCAGCGCGGGGCGAACTCAATGTAAATTGTGCTTGTCAGAGCCCCCAGTCGTAGGTAGCAAGGAACGAGGACTCTAACCAATAGAGAGAAAGAGGCTTGGCTAACCTTAGCCTCCCATTTTCTCTCTCCCCCCTCAATGCAGGGCTCTGGCCAGTCAGTCGCCTTTGATTATCAGTTGCCAGCAGCGCCTCTCTTGGCTCCTTGACACGAGCACCATATAAGGCGTAGCGATCTCCATAGAAACGTGTCAGTTTCAATAGTAGTGTCAAAGTTCACTATATACAGACATTCGCGCAGATCCCCGTTTCGGAAACATTGCTCTGCTGGTCTTCCCGTTTAAACGCATTCATTTTGGGGTCTCTCCTTCTTGCATATTCTATTAGTTGTTGTTTTTTTTCTTTTTATCTTTTCGCCTTCGCTCCATTCTGCTGGAGAGGTGAAACTACACGGGCACTTCGGCGACGCGGTCTTTTTGCTGGTCGAAAATAGATTTATTTAAGAATATAGATGTAAAATTTGGCTCTTCAGTTTTTCCTCCCCTCCGACAGCGAAGACGGGCGTAAGGAGCAAGGAAGAAAGGAAAGGGAATTTATTTCTCGCAGCACTTTGGATCGCGTCTATTTTATGTTCATTTCTACGCCCATGTGAATCGCTCCTGCCTCCTTTCTGGCTATTTTATAACAAACTGCATTTTTTGTTACGTATGGCTCGCTTTTTCTTCAAGATTGGGTTCCTGAATGGCTGACTGCAATTTACATTGGAACTGGCCTCCCGATACTTGCATATCCTGATCGGGTGCCTATTCTATCGCCTCCTGTATTTTGAATGCATTGATCGTGTTCTGCTCCCTTCTTTCTCCTATGAGATTGTTTGTTCCGATTTGACTTTGCACTGTGGTGTTTGACATATTTTTTCTCCCCTCGCTTTATAAATCTCAGCGATCAGTTCGCTTTACAGCACTTTCCGGGCCCGAGATATGGCAATGGTAGTTAGCGTCTGGCGAGATCCGCAGGAAGACGTGGTCGGAGGACCTCCAAGCGGCCCCAATCCAGCAACTCAGCCGGCGAGGGAGCAACAGCAGGCGGCGTCGGCAGCACCGCACACTCCGCAGACCCCCAGTCAGCCAGGACCCCCGTCAACACCAGGGACTGCTGGAGACAAGGGGAGTCAGAATTCTGGACAGAGTGGCGCACAGCATATAGAATGTGTTGTTTGCGGAGACAAATCGAGCGGCAAGCACTATGGTCAGTTCACCTGCGAGGGATGCAAAAGTTTCTTCAAGAGGAGTGTCCGAAGGAACTTAACGTATACATGTCGTGCCAATAGGAACTGTCCCATTGACCAACACCACCGAAATCAGTGCCAATACTGTCGGCTGAAGAAATGTTTAAAAGTGGGAATGCGGCGGGAAGGTGAATATCTTTTTTTAATGGCACATATGATGATGCATACTACGTTTCATTGACGACTAGGGCTGCCATGTTGCATAAAAGGTCACATACATACATACGGCTGAGCACATTGCACATCCATGTTTTTTTAGGGTATGTGTATGTGTGCGCGTTTAGCCAATAGAGAGGGTCAAATGCAATGCAGCTTCAAAAGATAGGGAGCCTATACGGGTCGTAGGCTAAAACAAAGCAGCTATTTATTTGGCTGACGTTTTTTGTGAACGTCAAAACTAAAATTTGCTATTTGCTTTTAGTGTGTGTGTGTGTTTGTGTGTGTGTGTGAGAGAGAGAGAGAGAGAGAGAGAGAGAGAGAGAGAGAGAGAGAGAGAGAGAGAGAGAGAGAGAGAGAGAGAGAGAGAGAGAGAGAGAGAGAGATAACATGCTAGTGCACGTTCTTACATGTGTAGTGATAGACTTGTGTTTGGTTTGTCTGTGCATTAAAAAGAACAGACAACATAACCACATCGCCTCCCTGTTCCATATGCTGACTAGACAGATTAGGCAGCTTGAGCAGGCTGACGTTAATGCTAGAGAATTTCTACGGTGCACATTTGTTTAGCCTCATAATGTATGAGAGGCCGTAACTTTCCCTCTCTTTGTAGCACAAATTATAGCAATACTCGTATTTTAAATTAACCACCAAAAATACCATACATGTTATTTAATATTATCCCCCAAAAATATTGTAAACAAAAATACAATTAGACCAATTATACTTTTTTAAAGCACATTGTTAAAATATTATTCCTCGACTGAACTGTAGGCTTAGAATGCGTTTACTCTTATTGTGCTTGATATATTTTTGCCATTCTTCTTCAGTGCAGTATAACACAGGTGTAATGGAGGAATACATTTGACAAAATTAAACTGACACATGGGTTGCATTGAACAATTAGATGTAGCATATGTCTACATGGCATTATAGGCCTATATTACAGCACCCGTTATGTTAGATATTTGAAATGTGTGTGTGTGTGTGTGTGTGTGTGTGTGTGTGTGTGTGTGTGTGTGTGTGTGTGTGTGTGTGTGTGTGTGTGTGTCTGCGTGTTAATCTAGATGCATGCATAATCGATACTAATGTAAAGAGAGCAACATTTAGCATGTAGGCTTCGGTCATTCTTAGATATTGAAAATATTATTATTTATTTAAACGACACACAATCTTACACACTATATAATTTACAGTTTGAACTAGATTGTGATGGGAAATGTTACTCCCTTATTTCAGGGCAGAAAACACTAGCTTGCCTAATGCTTCTCAGCATAGGTTGCACATACAACAATGTTTATCAGTTCTGGATGCACATTTCCTCTCCTTCTCTTTCTTTTTGTCAGCGGTTCAGCGAGGACGAATGCCTCCAACCCAGCCGAACCCAGGCCAGTACGGGCTGACGAACGGGGACCCTCTGAACGGCCATTGCTATCTCTCCGGATACATCTCGCTATTGCTTCGGGCTGAGCCTTACCCGACGTCCCGATATGGAAGCCAATGCATGCAGCCCAACAATATCATGGGTATCGAGAACATCTGCGAGCTGGCAGCTCGCTTGCTCTTCAGCGCCGTGGAATGGGCGAGGAACATCCCTTTCTTTCCAGATCTGCAGATCACCGACCAGGTGTCCCTTCTCAGGCTGACGTGGAGCGAATTGTTTGTGCTAAACGCGGCTCAGTGTTCCATGCCTTTGCATGTGGCCCCTCTGCTCGCCGCAGCAGGCCTCCACGCTTCTCCAATGTCTGCGGACCGAGTCGTGGCTTTCATGGATCACATTCGAATCTTTCAGGAGCAGGTTGAGAAGCTCAAGGCCCTCCACGTTGACTCGGCAGAATACAGCTGCATCAAGGCAATAGTACTCTTCACATCAGGTGAGTGTTTCCCATGCCGCTACTGAGGCCTTCTCTTTCATAGGCGGGCAGTGAGGGGGCAGACAGGGAGAACAACACTGACACAGAGGCCATGGCTGTCTAGTGCATGCTGTTTTGACAATGGCCTGCTGCATATATCCACATTGATACATTTTGAGAGAAGTAAACAAACCGATTTTCAAAAACGTAATTTGAATGTGTATTTTACTCCCTCGTAGGAATAGATTGAAAGACAATATAATATCTAATAACTGTGAGATAATATAAAAAGTTAATAGCATGACATTTTTAATAAATCTGATAACTAGGTCTATAGAAGTGTTTGGTCAATGTAGCAGGCGTCTTGTTTTATTACATTATATGCGTAAAGAAAAGCATAATTTCAGTATGACACTTGATGTAGGCTATGAATGAGTTGCGGCACATGTTTGTCATGTTTTGCGTGCTCAAACACGTGTCATGGTAAAACAGGAAATAATCCCTAGCTGCCTGATCAAAGAAATACTGATTAAATAGCCTAATATGTCATTGTATTACTCTGCTATACATTTCTGTCAGAACAACGGTATGCTTGAGATAGATTCGGAATGTATTTAGTTTAACGATATTTCCTCTCACAATTATTGTCTTTTGAAAAGAAGGCCTAGTCTACATATGACAGCTCATTACTAGATCTGGCTGAGGCAAGGTCACCATTCCTGTCGCTGTAATAATATAGATATTTTGGGTTTGATTGTGGACACTTGCTCTATTACCATTTGCAAGCAGTCGCGTAGGGATAATGGAGAGTAAGTAGGCCTCATGGATAAAGAAGCCTAAATCGACCGTGACTCAAAATAGTTCTTATGTGGCTCTTTAGAAGTGAACACATTCTCATGAAATAGCATTATTTCAATCAATACATTTCACAATTAAGCAACATTTTGCAAATCATTGTGTTTTGTAATATGTGTTTTTATTTTATTTTATAGAACATATTTTCACTCTCGATGTCCTCAAAAAACACTATGCTTAGTGACCACCTATAGCCTAGCCTAAAGTAGCCTAGCATTAGCATCTTACTTAATTATAGTCTATTAAAGTTATCCTATTGCCTACTCTACATAGTTAAGTATATTTCCTTGCATATTATACAATATTATATTATATTAGGCATATTATATTATGTTATAGGCTTTTATATGATTAGACATATCGATATGAAGTATTTAGTAATTATTATTTTTTAAATCGTGAGAATTGTATAGCTTACAGACAGGTTGAGTGACCAGCGAACTTGTTTTGATCATGGCCAAAGGGGGATACAAAATAAGAGTTTAATTAAATTCCATTAAACCTCCCCTAGTCTTCTAATTTGCCCTCCTTAGTGACATGAAGACTTTTACCACTGCCTTTTCTGCCCGTGAGGACTTCCTGAATTTTGGGATAGTTTGTGTGCATTTCTGTCCTTGGCATCCAAACATTATATTCTCGTTTTGTAGGCCTACATGTGACTGTGTCCTTTTTGAGGCCCACCCTAATATAAAACGAGCCATCATTGCGAACAAGGCAAACATGTATTTAGGTGCATTTAGATGATCAATCAAGCCCTTCTGGTTTACCTATAGCCTATCTTTGCTAATGCGAACTTATGTTTTTCTTTTTTTATAGGCTGTTAGTCATCTACGTAACATGACGTCATTGAGTGCCTTGCGCCAAGCTGTTGTTACGTTATTAGACTATATCCAATTTAACATACAATACAACTGCAGAGATAGTTGTTTAAGATGACTAGATTTAACCTTGATTCTGTCCATTTTAGCAACAGGCAACAGTAGGGGCCAATGATATGCGTAACAAACTATAGTTGTAGTCTAGGTTTACTTGGTTGATATGTATTTATTTGTTCAATCAGGAAACCCATAGGGGTAGCCTAGTTTAGGTCGTTGATTAATATTATGTCCAGTTATGTATTGTCGGCTATTTTCATAATTAATTAAATGTTTCTATCTGTTTTCACATACTTCTTCAATGTGAATCTAGAAAATAGATGTCTTTATGTGCAGATATTTTCAGATTGTGGTATAGCGCAAGGGTTAGTTCTATGTTTGGTGAACTATGGGGTGCCCTTTCTTTTGACTCATGCATTCGCTGCAGCTCAGTCGTCGAAATGCTTTGAGCTTAATCATTGTGTTGCGTTTCACAAGTTTATATTTGCAAGAGGTTTTGAAATGTAATTCATTTCGCCCCGATTAATTGTTTTATTTATTGAATAGAGACTCTCAAAGTTAATCCAAACGGATTTGCATACATGTGACTGTGCCGCCTAGTCTAAGATCATATTGTAAATCAACCCGAGATCTCCGCTTTGCCCCCGCGCAGTTCGCGAGTTCATAAGGTTATTGTGTCTGGCCATAGTGAGTTATCGCCCTGAGAAATCAAGATGAGGCTTAAAAGCCTCTCGGATACCATTGTCCGGTGTTTAATTTATTAGAGCTGGAAAATTGAGGCTATCTCTCATGTGCACTTGCTACAAAGCAATGGCTTAAAACAAACTCGTCAGGCCTATGCATAACGGTCCATATGCCAGTATGCTTGGCCCTGCACAACGGTTTACTACAGATTTTTAGGCACAGCAGTATGCCGTGGACTGTGCGATAAACAGTTTAGCTTGTAGGCTACTATGCGCAAACATATTTTAAGACATTAACATTGAGTGTATTTCTCTATTTAGGCCAATTGAACAACCCCCGACTGTGTAGGCTACGAACAAAACACATGTCGCATGTGTTGTTGTGCTGGCTCCTTTTCGTATTTTTACGTGTTTTTTGCGTGACTATTGACTTCACCCCTGCTAATAAATGTGATTGCTTCCAGGGCCTTTACTAGGCTACATTGAAAAACAGGCCAAGCATGGTATATTAAGAAAAGAGCGGAGAAATATCTAAACAGCTTATCGAGAGTAGCTTAATTAGGTCATATTACAGCCATTGCAATTTCAATTTCATCAATGTCTTTTATACGTTTCCATAGACTTGAGTCCCCTGAGTCAGAAACCATGAGTGGGCCTGCCTACCTTTCCCCCTGCTCCCTCGATTGGAACTGCAAAATGCTATACAATAGGCTCATGCTGCACACCATTTCCCATGCCCGTTAGCTGCATATTCTTTGTTTTGATTGGTTTATGAAGGTGTAGAGGTATCTGCCTCTGTGTGGTGCGCTCCCCACTTCAATAGATCGCCCTTGTTTATTCTATATGACAGTCCCTCTTACTCAATGTGACGTAGCATGTTTGGGCAGTGTGTTTCTTAATTTCACTTTGTCAATAACACGTAACGCTGATGTTGAATGATAACCAGGGTGCTTTTGTGTTTCTCTTTTGCCTGCACAGACGCTTGCGGCCTGTCAGATGCGGCTCATATCGAAAGCCTGCAGGAGAAGTCTCAGTGCGCCCTGGAGGAATACGTGAGGAGCCAGTACCCTAACCAGCCGAGCCGCTTTGGCAAGCTCTTGCTGCGGCTGCCATCTCTCCGCACCGTCTCCTCATCGGTAATTGAGCAGCTGTTCTTCGTCCGCTTGGTAGGTAAAACTCCTATTGAAACCCTCATCAGGGATATGCTATTATCCGGGAGCAGCTTCAACTGGCCTTACATGTCCATCCAATGATCCAAATGAGAGTGACAAAAAATGAGAAAAAGGACCAGAATGCAGCATCCCGTACAAGAAGACTATATATAGGACATTTTCTGAACATATTTGAAGACATTACATGTTTTTTTTGTTTTGTTTTTTTGTCTTCTGGGACTAAGATCTGAGATGGAATACGTTATGGACAGAAAATATGGAACTGGACTTACACCTGTGTATATCCACTCTCATCTTCAAGAACAGTACTCTTCATTTTGTAAAATACTAGTCTTTATTTTCCTTTTTTGTAAAAAAAAATTAAAACACACAAATAAAATGAAAAACAAGACTTAGCGGGAAAATAATGTTTCCAAGCAATTATAAGAAATGTCCTGTGTCTATGTACCCCTCTGTTTTGTATTTTTTCTGGTTCTAAACCAGCTTTTCTGTGATTCTATACTAATAATTTTTATATAACCTTTTGCTTCTTATTATGGGTGCGATATATATGTTGTCGAAGCTATGTTCTCCGAGAATAAAATTGAAGTGAGAATTTAAAACAGAAAAATAAAGAAATTTAGACAAATATGAAACAAGTCTAATCGCTATGACAATATCACCACTGATGGTTGAACTGATACTATGGACCCGCAACAGCAGCATACAGACCTCGTGGACATTTTGAGGAGAGGACGTCTTGTTCCTGGTCATGAGTGTTTGAGGAGTCGATCAGCAGTCAAAGAGGAGAGACATGAAAATCAAAAGCACTTTTAATATATCATTTCAAATACATTTTCTTTGTTTCGTCTTGAAATTTTCATTGTTTCTTGAATTTTATTGGCTATTGCCTTCAATTTGCTTACTTCATAATGCAGCTTTTGCAGAAGGGTCGGTTGATGAAGTTGTGTGATGGTGACTGTACTATTAAAAAAGAAATAGGCAACAATGTCTCACTCTCAAGAATGTTCATCTGAAGATCGAGATGCGCGCTCGCGCTTATTGTGTGGGATAGCACAATGCCACTCTTCTTCATACACATGTATAGGCTACGTAATATGTTTTCCTTAAATGTGCGTTTTTCAGTGTTGTCTTGCATACTACACTAAAAATGCAAATTCATTATAAGCATTTTCCCTCTATTCTTCCCAATGGAGCTAGGCGATCGATGGGAAAATATGACACTCATGTTATGCTATAGAACAAGTGTTGTTGGCTGGTAGGCTGCGCATTGCATAGCTATATGTTACTGTTTCACGCACTTGCTCACTCACGACTGAGTATGAACACAAAGATGTGCAGAATTAGACGGTAGTGATGCTGCTCGCTGCATGTGAGCGCATTCATGTTTCATATTTTCCCAGACAGCAATGAAAGCATGAGCGCCACAGAGGCTTCTCTAGCTTACTTTTTGTGGCTTAATCAAGGTGATTCTCAATTCAAACATCTTCATTCGTCTGTTAACAAAAATACCCTTGAAAGTATTGTTTCAATATTTATATGCGTTTTAGCTAAGGATTGCACTCGCTGTAAAACAGATGTGATATGCGTGATCAATCTGGAAAATGTATTTTTACAGCATGTAAGCCAGTCGATAGAAACATCGAGTGTGATGTATTGTGTTGGAATAGAGAGAGTGAAGAAGAGAGCGAGACAGACGCAGAGCGCACAGTGCAAAGACAAATGAGAGAGGAAATGTGCGGAGGGAAATCAGTGTGTAGGTAGCCTTGACTTGCCTATAGCCTACATTTATAATGATTACATCGACGAAGTCCTCAACGTGTTGGATTACGATTTTTGTCTGCACAGTGTATAGTAACTTCGTGTACAGAGGCTGCATGTCTCTTGCGTGACAATAATAATATGTCTACTTACCCTTTACAAGGAATGTGGATCTGAGAGCAGATCTCTGACGTACAGAAATAATTCAGTATACTGTTCATATACATAATGCACATAATGTATCAGACTCAAATAAGGACATAACCTTGGAATATGTTGGGAGGAAGAAGACAGTGTGTCTTGTATCCTTTGCCTTGCAGTCGATTTTGAGATAGTAGCATGATGAGGACATGGATTGACGTCCAATTTCGCCGTCAATCTTGAACGATCTCCCTGTGATGAAAGCTATCGTGAGGATGGAAGCTGAACTAGTGATGTTGTGAATTTTCGTAAATGAGGGCCTATCTCTAATCGTTGTATCTTCTTACAGCTTTTAAAATATGAGTAGACCTATTAGGTCTAGTTCTCATGGTCTCATCTGGTCAAAAGATGAGCTGGCCTTATTTGATCCCAGTCGACCTGTGGTCATGATTGAAGCCGTGTTCAGCCTCTACAGCTTCTGCTAATATTTCAACACGGTATTTCTCAGATCAACATAACCCTTAATTGTGTTATGTCCTAAATAATGTGCAATAATATGGCTATCGATAATTATGAACTAACAATGGCATGGGCATGTTGGCCGGTTGGCCAGTTCCAAGTTGGAGGATGAGCCCATGTAGTTATGCTTTGAGTTAATAGGCTTAAACACAATTTTTAATAGTTTAAACACTAATTTTAACACCTTAGAGACAAAATTGTACATAATATACCTTAGCATTTTACCAATGACCCATTTAACCAAAATAGGCTTTTGGGCTAATTTGGAAGTTTAGCTCATAGCCTAGGCCTACTCCACAACTTTTCATAGATTGTAAACCTTTTTTTATATATAAATCTGGTTGTGTGTGTTTTATTTATTAGTTTGTTGGCTCATACCCTAGTTTATGATTACCAGCACATGAAGAGATGTTTAATTAGAAACATATAACATTTACTGAAAATAGTGTCCTTGATGACGAGTCTCGATCAATTCTAGCCTATATTTACAGCCCTCGACTAAATTGTTTACCAGCATATTAAATGCAGCTTTCAACTGGTTGTCCTCACATAATGTATTCTAAACCCCTCCAGAATTCTCACTTTCATCCTTTGCTGAGGGCATTCTGTTGTACAATCCCTACACTACGGGCTATATCAATCTATTCAAAATAACATAATTCTAGCCATGTGTTTCTAGTTAATGAAGCAGTATGACTTACTACAAACAAGAAGGATAGGCTACAGTTTGGTATACCTATAAGTGCTATATATTCATCGACGGTGTGCTGCTTTCATTTTCTAACAATTATGACAATTTAAAGAGGTTTGTTATAATCCCACATATGCAAGAATTAGATATAATCTCATAGTAGTTTGGTATATGGCTTGCTATAGTGTTTGGGATGATAAGCGTTCAGGCAGACGTCTTTTATAGTTGTAGATCACTCAACGTTCATATATTTTATACAAATGGTCTCTCTGGGTCTTGTATGCTGGTGGTAGCTTAGCTGCCTTTCTGAAGAAGAAGAAAAACGTGTGACACGTTTGGGATGTTCTATCATATCCTATTGTTGTACTTGACTGATGACAGTGGGTAAGGCAACGGGATCTGTAACACACTATAGGCCCCACTTGTGTCTCGGTAATTTCGGAAACTCTGGTTACCAAAGTGTTATTCCCAAATGAGTTAAATAACAATTTACCTTTGTCTGGTTTCATCCATCAAACCACAAGTGAATGATTCCTAACACGGGGCTATTTGTTTGCTTACACAAGCAGCTGGGTGCGATTTCACGTTTGAGATATCTGTCTGAAAGCGAAACATTTATTATCCTAAGTTGTCAGCGAGCCTATTTCCAAAACCTCATGCAACCAATGGTTCCACACGTCTTGTGCAGTCAAACGGCAATAACAAGCTCGTGTGGGGTAACATCAGTTCATTCCGCCTATGTTAGGCCTACGTTGTCACTTTTGACAAACAGTTTGAGAAAATATTTTCAAATAGAAGCTTTGAGATACGTGAATGATCCTCTGAAGTATGGGCTATGACAATTTTATAAACTTTTCTTTCAGGTATTGGCTTATGCATAATGAATAGACTTACACGACATTGGACATTACGTTTTTCGGCATCGCTTGGGAATTCAAACACTTCTGGTGAATGGTTGGAAACAGCACAGTGGGAAATAGCCTAGCATTCTAAATATAGTGCATGAATGTCTGCTTGTGTGTCATAAAATGGCTTGTTTGCTTTCTATGTGAAATGGTGACAATATGTAGTCGACCTGGAATAACGTACAATTGCTCCTAACAATCTCAATCTCAAGCTTTATGCTATGGATCAAATCCAACACTACAGCGTATAAAATATATCCAGTTGTGAATGTAACATAAGGGGACGCCTGTGTGTGTGTGTGTGTGTGTGAGTATGAGTGTGAGTGTGTGTGTGTGTGTGTGTGAGTGTGTGTGTGTGCGCGCGCGCATTTGTGTATGTGCAAGCGGGCGTGTGTGAGTGAGTGAGCGAGAGACAGCGATGGAGTCGGTTGCGTGAACAGATCGCTGTGTAAGCGATCCCTTTGTGTTGATTTAGGAAGACGTTTGCTGTATATAACGTTCAAGGCTGATAATATCATTGCCTGGCCAGATAAATAAAGCATTGGCCAAACCATCAGGTCAGCTATCGATCCTCTGCTCTCTGCGAGCGAGAGGGAGCGAGAGAGGAAGCGAGCGAGGGAGGGAGGGAGGGAGGGGGTGAGAGACAGAGAGAGAGACCCTTTACTCATTAGCATTCCATACCCCTGGACTAACGCTGACAACTAACAGAGATATCCAGCTCTACACCATGCACTTTCTCCTTCTGTCTCCATACCCTTCATTTAAACGGAAATATTTCGTCACAGTGAACACATTCTAAGCATTTACCCTTGAACAGATTCCACATACAATAGAAGTCATTTTAACGATAGGCCTATAGAAAATAAGACGGTGAATTGTTATCTTCATCGCTCATTAATGGGCCCAGTGCAAAGGCATTTGAACTCATGTAGCCTAGTTATAACCTATACATCACAGCATTTGCATGTAGGCTAATTATGAAATGGTGTGCCTTTACAGTTACGTGGTCAACTAAGTTGTCCAAACTCTCACATAGACTACTTTTGGTGTCTTTATAAGGAAAC